CTGAAACTTGGCTGAAAATTGGCTAAAAATGGTAGGGCGCAGCTCGGAAAACTTTGATGGGGGCAGCTGGCGTCTTGGGCGAAGCTCGAAAACAAGCCGAAACTTAGCCTCGGCGAGCTTCGAAAGCTTGTTTTCCGAGCTGCCCCCGAGATGTGAGCTGCGCCCGTCCAAGTTTTCTGAGCTGCGCCCTGCCATCTTTAGCGAACTTTCAGCCAAGTGAAGTTTCAGTTAGCGGATTGGCCCCAGGATTTGTCTCACGGTACAAAAACAAATCCATAGGAGTTCAACTAATAAATACGAAGACTCTGAATATCCAACTTTTCTAAAAAAAAGTTTCTCTATAACATAAAAATTCAGAGTTCCTCATAGTCTATTCCAGACCAAAATGAACTTCTATAAAACAAATTCCTCTATAAAAACAAATTTTTTGGCCATTTGCAATTCCTTGCCCATACTGTTTTGATCCCCTTTGCCTGTAGACATTGAGAAACATAGTGTAATGTGTTATCAATGTCGTCATTCCTTTGTCATTTCCCTTTCCTCGTATTATTGCCAAGTGTTTGTCGTCCTACATCCCGTTCTACCATGGAAACACATGAACCTCCAATTGTGAGAATTGTTATTGTTATTGTAAGGCACCGGACCCTTTTGGCCAAGGAAATCTTGATCCAATTAACCCGTGTCTTGGGTTTTAGGTTATGGCTAGATTCGGTCAAACCTCTGTACAAAGAATTGCAAATAATGGGAATGATTTACTTTGGAATGATTTACTATAGGGAGGTGTTGTTGCACGAGAGCGGCTACATCGACCGCCTGTAGTTCATTCCAAAGATACTCGAAGCTATGTGTCATTTGCTATGGTATATTTCTACAATTCACTGTGAATTAAACGACTTCTGTTTACCTAATATTCAACTACGCTACCCCCGGCACCACGTTATATGAAACCAGATGGCAGTGTGGTTAGCTGGTTGCTAATCACACCGTAATAGAGTCAACAGCTATCAGCACTGCCTGCCTGGGGTCATGTAACCGAAACCGGTCGGATTATGTATTTTTAGAGCTCCTGCAAATTTGCTCATGTTGTTGTTGTCGATTACACATTGCGAAAGACGATTTGGACTTGTTTTTTGCTGCAAAATAAAGAGCTTTTTTGAATTGGATAAGGTATAACCCATCAAGTGAGGGCGTTAGAAAGAAACGGTAAGATTTTCTGGGAAATAAAAACTCATAAATCGAAAATTGCGGAAAATAAAATAAACTTTTTTACGGTTTTTGTTTTGATAAAAAAACGTTTTCGGGTCATCAACGTACACATTAGAACTGTCTATCAACACAAAATGCAGTTTGTCGTGCAGAACCGGCAACAGTAAGTCAAAAAAATCAATTTTTACATACTAAAAAATACTCGTCTGTCGGGAAAATAATGAGCGCAATGTCGTTGCCCCGGTTGCGTTACTGAAGTGAAAAGCAATTTGTTTCTGTCCCGACACAATTTATTTTCTCTGCGACATTGCAATAATCGATGGACAGAGTGCACATTATTTTCCCGACAGACCGATATGATTTATGTATGGAAAAATTGATTTTGTGTCTCAAAACGATCCAGTCTAAAAAATTATTAAATTTTTTTCTAAACAACGTTTTTCTCAAGAGAAAAATTTTAGGGTAATTTTTTTTTGACTCAAAAGTTCATTTTTCACTTGTTTATTGACGTGTACTAATTTGTTGGGCCAAAAGTCTAGACATGTTTTCGCACTGTGTGGACACCTGCAATCTGCATTGCGACGAAGGGTTGCGTGACAAAAATTCAAAAAAATGCAAAGAAAGGAGCGTTTTCGTTTGCGTGCTTTTTTTCCCTTTGTAATACGACAAAAAAGCGGGTTTCGTCTGGATAACGTCTACGATATCCTCACCATTTCTGCAAAACAAGCGTCTCCGTTCCCGCAGGAAAAGCCGAAACTAAAACTTTCTGAATTTCAGTTGCGGGTTATCTTGGGTAGACGCGCAAAATCTGAAGCTGACACGAATTCCCAACCTGGAAGAATCCCCTTCTTCCGTGGAAAGTTTTTGTGGTTACGCTTCACGTCAAACTGAGATAAGCTAAAACAGTCCGTTGAATGGATTGGCAATTTGTCAAAAAAAGACGCGAAAAAACATTTTGTCGGGGAAGAAATGGGGAATTTTTGGGGCGAGAGAGTACGGTTTTGCGTGTCCTTTTTCTCTCTTTCTCTGCGAAATCAAGACGAAGTGTAAAGAACGATAGCGAAGAGTCTATTCCGGTCACCGGACTCCTCAGTTTGATGTGAGCTTTGAATGTATGGGTTAAGGTGACAGAGGAATACTGCAGTTTTTCTCAGCATTAATCTGAACCAATGACGAGTTGTCAGCAAGAGACTTCTGATTGAAAACGATGATGACCTTTGCAGAAACATTACAGTATTATACAGTTGCAGTAATTCCTGAAGCCGAGCAATACTTCCATGCATGATTATAGTGAAGTATACCATCATAAAATGTCCCAAATCGCCGTGTAAAAGTTAAAATATAACTGATGAACTGAAATGTGACTGTTTGATGACAAGTTTGATAGTCAAAACCCATTGGCATTCGTACCAGATTGGTGCATTTGCGTACGCAATCGTTTTTATATCGTAAATGCCCCACTCTGCACGAATTCCTCGTGGTTTTAATCAAAATAGATCGGACAGAACAACGCTTCTTTATCAGCATTGCTTTAGACGAACCACAACCTCAACGTGTACAACAAATCAGTGCATTTATAAGCTATGCGGACGGACTATAAACACACTATTTATTGCATACGTTAACATTGAAATCTATTTAAAAAGGAGGTAAAAAATCCGGAATTTTCGCTGAACTTCGAAACACAAATAACCTAGCGAAAATTACAGTAACCGTCACAAGTAACCGACAAGATCACCGTCACAGTTCCACACCAAACTTTTCCAGCCCAAATGGGCGATTCCAACACGACGATTCTCATATATACAACACCGATGAACCGCCCTTCTCATTTCCAGACTACTCTCCACGCCAATTTGCATATCAAGTGTGGCTGTGAAAAAGTTTCTCGAAAGTCCCGTGATCTGGAGTGATCTGCATTCGCGATGCGACGCACTTAACCGTTTGTTGTGCACGCCTAATCCGATTAGGGTTCGGGGTCCCATTTCTGGCACTTCATCGACCTGTTATTCATCGGGTAAATCACAAAGAGCGCTGAGGGAATAGTAAAATGAATTATGTTGTGATCAGCGAGAATTTGGATTCGTGGTTAAAAACCTTCAAAAATGTGAATGCCAGTTTGTGAGGGAATCAAAAAATGATTACAAAATAAGTTTTTTGTCGCTGCTGGACGTTTTGAATGGCTGGCAATGCCAGTGGAGGCTGACAAGGAAAGTGCTGACATTCAGATTTTTATAACATTAGAGACAAAATTAGATAATTTTTTTTACAATAAGGAATACGGAGAACTCCTCCTAGCTTGCGCTTAGCAGAGACGACACAGATTTTTAAACCGAAAATTGCAAATTTTTTTTTTGCGGCTTTTGGCATGCAATACTAGGGATCGCATCGGTTTGTAGCCGTATGCATGGGAGAGGCTAGGAGAAGGCTTAGTTAGTAGAAATAATAAAATTAACCAGGTCCCAGGACTGCCTATCACATATATATTTGAGGTATTTTTTTATATAATATCCAGATGAAAGTTACGGATCTTCTTTTTTTGTCGCAAATTTTGGTCATTTGGATGTTACAATAACTCAGGGTAAAGAAAACTAAGGTTAGTAATAGACAAAATTAGAAAAAGTGGTCATATTGCAAGTCTTCGTCAAGTCTCCGCCGAGCCTTCACCGAGCGTTCGCAGACCATCCAACGGCTTTGCTAGGATTTCTAGGCACTTCCAACGACCTTTTTTTGGGTATCCACCTGCCCTATGCCCCATATCGGTCGATTTTGTGATGACCCGAACCGTCGACGACTCGAAAAGTCGGGGCGAGCAAATTTTCATAGTTTTTTTACCAAAGAACCTCGACAAGAAAATAAATTTTTACCGCACAAAAGTGGCAAACGGCAAACAAGAGTTTTCTCCCTATGACCGGGTCAAAACTTGCAAAAACTTGATGGATTTTTGCAAAATTTTAGACTAACAAATTTTGACTGTTTCTGCAAAGCGCAAGCTCAACAACTGGCATATCCAGTGAAAAATCTCTATTTAGAACAGCGCCTGGTTTTCCAAGAACGCTAAATTTAGCAAGAAAACAGCCGAATTTCTCAAAAGCACAACAAAAACATTCGTACACTCTTCTTGAACAACCTCCAAATACGTGTATTTCAACAAGTACATTCCCCCAACAAAACCGTCCATGAACCAAAGCCCGCTTTATTAATCAAAACCCCGATCCATGTATAGCTACATGGGATTTAAAGCTGGTCTGGAAATGGGAGAAGCATCCCTAACGGCCATTGCGCCTCCGCCGCCTAAACAAACACGCAAAACAGCCTAAAAGTAATAAAAACTAGCCAAAAACCGCTTCAATTCTTTGAAGATCGTTGGTTTCTTGAATGGATCGCTCAATGAGCTTATCATACGGGCCTTTGTTGTTGTATTATTGGCCATAAATAAGGGTTATTGGCTTCTGTACACCTTAATATTGATGGATAACATAAAAACCTATAACCTTTTGAAAAAACTAGCTTCAAATCTTGTTTCAAATTTTTAAAGGCCTCATAAATTGCTTATTTTACAAAAAAAAATCTTGTTTGACAACCGATTTGCAAGTTTATCAGTAGTTCAAGTTGGTTCCCACCACGAAAACAAGCGCTTGCCAAATTTGTTGGCATCCCGTTCTTTTGGGGAATATTTTTTTCGGGAAAAATTTGCCGAGTTTTGTTGTTTTTGCCGTTCCGTTTGTTATAACCTGCTTGTTAATTATTTCAGTTGACATTACCTGCCATCGGTATCTTCTCCATCAGCAGTCATGTCGATTCTTATGAAAATCAAGGAAATTGAGGATGAGGTATGTATTCTTCGTTTTGTTGTTGAACTTTTAGATGAAGAATGAGTTTGTGGAGGTGATCTTGAGGCTTTTGAGAGTCTAAGGTAGTATAAATCTTCAAGTTTTTAGGCTTTACGGTTTAATCTATCTATAAATCACTAGTTCTATCAATTTACTTCGAAATTCAAGTTATTCTAGCTGGATCGGGTTTAACTAGGTCTCAAATCGCTGCCAGCTTCTATCCACAGATTTTTTTGGTATCTAAGGCCCTGGCATTTGGCCTGTTTCTGATATTATACTTCTTGTTACCACTTCAAACCTAAAAATTTAGTTTTTTTTACGAAAAATTTTCTGTTTCTTTGAGTACCTCTAATTACTAGCTTCACACTCCAACTAGCTGACTTATCACTTCCGTTGGTACTCTTTCTTGTAAGATGTTTATAAAAACGATTTCATTTATTCTTTTCATTGACGTATATTACTTTAGATGGCAAGGACACAAAGGAATAAGGCCACAATGGGTCATTTGGGTCTGTTGAAAGCGCGGTTAGCCAAACTTCGACGTGAGCTGATTTCGCCGAAAAGTGGTGGTGGTGCCCAGGCCGGAGAAGGATTCGATGTGGCCAAGACTGGAGATGCACGAATTGGTTTCGTCGGTACGGTTTAAATTTTTTTCTTTTGCTGTGTTTAGGTGGCAGAAGAGCTCTTAAAATGCTCTTTTGACAGGTTGGAGCTTCGTTTATCCTCATTTTTTTCATAGATTATATTATCCATAGCAAGGCGTTCAAAATTTTTAAATTAATTTATTGTGAAACTATCACAGGGGTGAGATCATACGAATATCAAAAGAAAGGTTGAGTTATGGAAGTGGAATGAATGGGTTGAGCATATGCATTAATAATTCTTCATCCATTAGTAATGTACAGATAGTTTGAAGAGACAAATTATGCGAAAGTAATGCCTGGGAATGGGCTAGATTTTCCTATAAAACAGAAACCGTAACAATTAGACCACCGGAAACAACTTGATTCAAAATTTGTGACATTATTTGGACTTGTCGCCAATTGTAATATATCGAAGGCTATCGTAGATCGTCTTCATCGGGACTCAGTTGGAGATGTTGACTCATAAGGGCTATTGTAGCGGCAGCTGTCTTCTCCGCTGCCGCCAGTAGATCGGGATCAATGTTGTAGCAATATAGAGTGCTGTATTTTACATTGTGATTCAGCGTGATCTGAGGAGTTCCGATATTATTGGGAGTTGTAACTTCACTCAGCCTCTCATAAGGTCGGTCCGTGTTCTCTTGATCTTCCTCTTGGACGTCCTCAATTTCGGATTCTGATGAGCTCGAGTAGTAGTCGATGTCCTCGAGTTCTCTCGGAGCACAATTCCGGCTCAGTGGTCTCTCCGGGACTTCGTCAATGTTCAGACCGTCTTCTTTGTTATTCCTCATTGTTTCTTCCAGCTCCAATTCGTCCTCTTCGGCCAACGGTTGATATGGTTCGTTACTTTCGTCTTCGGAATCGCTCGACCAATCGGCATAGCGCCTTTTCGGCTTGCTCAAAATGTCGTCCGCAAAGTCGATACTGAGTTGAGGGATTTTCAAAGGCACTCCGCGATCACCAATTGGCGGTGGAGTAGCTCCCCGTTCGTTATACAGCTCCTCCTCACCGTCTTCATGCGGTGAATCTCGACTTCCTCGCCGCGACAACGGCCTTTCATACGGTCCGTCATGAGTTATTGCGTCCAACAAAGAGGTACTCAATTTTACGGGTTCGTGGCTTCTCTCTTCTTTCTCTTGCTCTTTGTCATTATCCAAAGACCCTCGCGGAGTTTTGGAAACCTCGAACGCAGGAACGGGCAGTTCGATCTCGGAGTATTCGATGCCTTTGTTTTGCTCAGCGGTCTCATGCTCCGGAGGCGGTGGTGATTGTTCTTCATTCTCCACTTCAGCCAGCTCATTCTTAATCTGCATTTCGGGCGCCGGAGGTGGTGGATCGTGAATATGATTATCGTTCTCATCATAATTCAGTTTCGGCTCGGATCCCATTGTCTCAACAACAATGGGGACCGCCCGCTGAACGAGCTGCTGAGCCTCGAAGCTCGGATAGTTGTGGTTAATCGAGTTGGTTTCCCCCTCAATGTTGAATATGTGACTGCTTTGATGCGAATTACAGGTGCTTCCCACGTAGAAGTTGTTATGACTGTTGTTTTGCTGCTGCTTGTAAAAGACATTAGGTGACTCAATGGCTTCTTGCGATATTGATTCCTCAAGGAAGACCTCGCCACTGTAGCCATCGTCTAACGACTCGGCCGGTAGCTGACTCATATCACACGCAAACATCCTCTGGAACGATCGAGTGTCCGTGTTTGCGGACGGCGGCGGACTTGAAGGCTGTGACGTTTGTAAATCGCATATACCAATCGAATTATCGTCACCGGTCGACCTCTTTGTTGACGATCGGGCCGTTAGTCGTCCGTTCTTCTCCTCCTTCCCGCTTGACGTACGCCGACATTTTCCGTTGTTGTTGTTCAGAATGGAAGACTTTGAGCTGGTTGACGACCGCGTTCCTTTATTGATATTATTAGGCGCATCCAATTTGTCAGCGCATGCTCCGTAGTTTGTGTGGTCCTTCTTGGCCAAACTCTCGTTCTTCTTCGCTTCGGCCCGCTTCCGACGGCTGTCCCTGTAAGCAAACGATTATAAGTGCATAAGGCGAAATGAATCCACAGCAATCAGTGCAAGTTCACATCTCATTTGCACAAACAACGAACTTTCGAATCGTCACAGAAAGGGGGTGCAAAGAGAATAGAAGACTAATTGCTAGAGTCACTCGCTGCACGTTTTTTCTTTATTCCTTTGTGTTTATAGGACAAACTGTAGTGTAGTTGTATACAAAAAAACTGGATAGCATACTACGCGGGGCCTTGTTTTATGTGACCCGCTGTGACGCAAGTCGTGCTAAAATAAGCCCCTGCTTAGGCTCAATTTCCGACGCAACCACTATCATGATGAAATCAACCCCTATTTTTTAATTAATATATGGCGATGAATAGAGAAGAAGCTTATGGTTGACGTGTAACGTTTCCACGGTTTGTAATCGCCCATTATTTTTAACTTACCTGTGAAATCGAACACGAAACTGTAGAATTTTGCGCAAGCGTTGCAAAAGCTTTGCTGGAGAAAGCGATGGCATAATCTCCCCCTTCAAATGAAAATTTTTCAGTTGGCAAACCCGATAAAAAAATCTGTAAAAGCACGAAACGTTGGAATCGGTAATTTCTCAGCAAAAGGTAATGATAATGATTAGCTTGTTTCCGAACAAAAGAGGGAGAATTTCATGTATAAAAATTTTGTTGTCAAGAAAACCGGGCCCTTAAGAATGTGAAAGACACAAACAGACACTTATTTCAAATTTCCCTCATATGGTCCGCAAGTGGAGGGAAGGGAGTCCGTGATACCTCTAATCCCCACACTGATTTAGCCGGAAAGAGAACATGGCCATAACAAATGCTAAGCAAGCGGACGATGAAAGTTCCGCCGTATAATCCGACTCGTTCTCTCTTTCACTACGCTCTCACGCACTGTGCCATTGCATTAGCACTTGTTTGGTGCGCCGCTCGCGGTATGATCCGAAAATTCGAAACGGTTAACTTTGGAAGGCCCAGAGAGGGCGTTCTTTTGCTACTTCCAGGCTCTATACACTGTGTTTTACGCGTGCTTCCTTTCCTCTTCCACGGCCAGCGAACGTTTTTCCGCCCCTTCCTCTTCTCTCTCTTGTAAATTCCCCCTCTTGTCTCCCCGCTTCAGGCCAAAAGCGGCGAAAAGTTTTGCTGTCCGCACACGGAGCGCGCACGGTCGTTCTTTAGCGAAATGAAAGCGAAGAAGAAGAGATATTGGCATGAATTAACGCTCTGCTAGCTCAATTTCAGTCCACACGCGGACGGCGATGTCCCCGCGGAAGGGAGTTTTTTTTTCATTAGTCCGTAAGTAAGTGCCGTGCGGCCAAAAGAAGTAAGGAGTGCGCTTCCCCTTAGCACAGGGAATGTCTGCGTCGAGGAACAGGAATGTGTCACTGCGCCGACTATTTACACCCTACTAGGTTACAGTTAATTTTTAGCCTCCACATCGAATGTTCGCGTGCTCTGACGTCACGGAAAAGGAAACATAAACAAGAAGGCCACGGAATAGGAATGTTCGCTTTTCTAATATCAACCCTACCATTTCCCGAGACGTTCAAGCGCCGTCGGTTTCGGGCCGAGGGGAAATTTTATTTGCATTGAAAATGCACATTTTCAACCAACGATTACGAAGCGGCCTTAAGATTATGAACATGTTTTTTCGGATTATTGCTTGTTGAGTCTACAAGGGACCTCTAAATTTGCCCACATTACTTTTTAATGAGCCTGTTAGGCGTAGCGGAAAGCTTGAACAGATTGAAGCATGGAAATCAGATAAACCAAACGATAGTGGGGAACAACAATGTGCTTGGAAGTGAAGGTACTCGCTCCACCGATTGAACTTACATGATACACTTGACAACAGCTACAATATAGCTGATAAAGATGATAAGCAGCACGCAGCCGACAATTATCAGCAGCTTTGTGTTGTCGGCCGGTAGGGCTTGCCGCTGCAGCTCACCAAGTCTCAAAGTCTCGATTCGAATTCCTCCGAGAACTCGCGACAGAGGCCCCACTTGATTGCTAAGTATATCTACAATCCGTCTGGTGTCAATTAGATCGGCTGTTATCATCTTCGGCAAGAGGTCCGGGTCTTTTCGAACCACAAACTTCAATTTCGTTCGCCGTCTCGGCAGGTATTCCACGTGCATGATGAGAACGTTCGCCTGAGTCAAAAAAGGTTCAGCATCTTCGTCATTCAAACGATTGAACGGCGGGCTTGTCCCAAGCGAAGCGCCCACTCCATCGGTTGAGGGTGTGCGGCTGAAATCGCTGGAAGGAGCTGGCGCTCCGGTTGGTCCCTGCCGCCATTCGTCGTCTTTTGTTACCTGTGTGAGGCCCAGCTGGGCACCAGCGCACTCATGAGCATGCTGCTCACAATGCTGACTAACAAGATTTGCTACCCGTCGTCGAAAATAGTCCTGATATGTTTCATTCGTGTGAAGTGTGGCCTTCAAATCCACATTTTTTACCACCATTTCCACTGCGGACAATTTCTCTTCCTGAAAGAATAGTCTTTTTAATGATAATTGTTTGTTTGGTTATACGTCCGCTTCGGAATAACATACCGCAATTAGCGAATTACACTGCATAAACGTGTCGTCCAAATTCCCTAATGAGCGATTGCAAACACATTCAAAGTCTGTGTCCACATTGCATATGAAGTCCTCCGGCCCTGATGACGTCTCTCGCTTCTCCAGGTTCTGCTCAATATATCGTTGATCGGTGATGACGTTGGCATACGATAATGTCACTGTCCCATAGAATACTATGAATGCTATCACAAAGGCCGTCAAGATTTGCAACAGCTCTTTTGTAGACTTCTTGTTGGTAAACGGGCGTTTCGCCGAGTAAAGTTGTTTGACGTATTCTTTTTGTATCAACTCCAGGGCTGGATCCATCTCAGGCTCGTCGTATTGTGGATTGAAATCGGGGAAATCCCAATCCTCGTTCTCCCCGAACTGCAGGAACTCTCCATGGTTCATACGCTTTTTAATGTTGTCCTTGCATGGCCTTATCGACATTCCGTGGGACTCTTTTCGCTGGTCCTGCAACGGTCTTGGGCTGACTGGCGTTTATTTTTCAAGTCGTCCAATATTTGTTAGGCATGCCCCTTTGTTCTTGGTAAACCGACGAATTTACTTAGAGAAGTGATGAGGATTAGTCCTGAAAAAAAGTATTATAAATTACGGAACTGACAAGTGGCAGTGCCCACGAGATAGCCCCGCATTTACATTCTGTATGCAAAGTAGGCAAAGGAATTGTAAGAAAGGCACAAGTATGTAAAATAGAGCCAAAACTTTTCGCCTGCCAAAACTGACCATCGAGAGCTTGAAACTTTGGAGGCCTGTTGAAAAATAAGTCTCACGCGTTTTTTTCCTCACTTCCCGCTTGAATGCCCGCTGAATGGAACCAAGCGAAATTCAAGGCAAATCTCCAAGAGGACAGCGCTTTTTACTGGCCAGGGTTCGAATTACTAAGTCCAAAGTTAGACCCTTTCAAGAGCTTGAAGCCAAAAGACTCGAGTAAATTCGCTCCAAAAGAATGCCTAAATTTTGATGAAACCGTGTGATGGAATTACACAGTAATAACATGAGCGCTCACTCAAATGAAAAAGGTTTATTTATTCGCGCATAAACATCCCCGTGCCCCCACATAATGGGGTAAGGGGACACATAGAGGGTCTAAAAGTGCACAACTCACTGAAAATTAATTAATATTTGGAAATGAGGAGGGGTTTTTTGAAATTATACAATGGGCTAAATAAAACTGACTGCTTTTGTTGTAAAATTGGGTATTTTTGGAGGTAATGTGTAATATGCCACCTGAAAATTAAGAAAACTACCGACGAGAGGGGGTTAATGAAAATATTAAGGACAAAGAACGCCAACAGAATTATGGTTTATAGTATAAAGACCAGATGAGAGTATGGCCGGTTGAAAACAATCTCCCCTTCCTCCGGCTGTAGTCAACATAAATCATAATCCAAATGACGGCTAAGACAAGCCGAAATGGTTGTAAACGCTGTGTAAAATATGGACTGGCTCAAGGTTCGCTCAGGTGAAATGGCTATCGATTCCAAGACGGAACGCGGATGTATGGGCGTTTGGATAATTTGACGGATAAATTGGATAAACAGCAGACCCAAAAGACACCACAAACTGATTGAGTCTGACGGCTTTTCGGCTCGCTTTCATTATGAAGAAGAAACATGTGAATGAGGAAAAAATATGGAGACATTTGCAACAAAAAACGGGGTGTTTGTTTTGCCAAATTGCCCTAAAATTTCAGAATCTAAGTCTTTAAACTTAGATTCTGTCTGCCTCTGCAAAACGCGGTTAAGGGTTTAAAACTTGAAATGTAATTTGAATTTTCTTATAAGCCAGATTTAATCGAAATTCACGAATGACACGTGAGGTGTTTTCGCTGTAAATTTTGAATGAGAGAACAAAAATAACCTCATGAAAAGTTTTCCCAGAAAAGCGCTAATAAAATCCTCGTTGGCTTCGGAAATCGGCGGCGAATCGTCACCAAAAGAATCCCACCAAAATTTGAGACACCGAAGCCAACAGAAGCACGACACTTCCCCCCTCAATATTATGCCCGCTGATATCGCGAGAAACGTCTAATTTTATTTTCCAAAATGCACCAAAAATTGTGGCTCGAATCGGATGCCGGAGGGATTAAAAATTCCCCCAGCCGCCGAAAAAAAGAGTCATGGGCCGATTATTTTTCTCGTTGGCCCCGCGCCTTATATCCGCCACGGCTTATTTGGCCACTACTAGCCTCTTATAGTCCGCCAAATAACGTCGCTTTTTTGTGCAAGCACGGCGAAGGAAACCCCCCTCCAGAAACGCTCAACGCATGTATATCGTGTATATATTCGGGTTGTGAAGCCAAAAATACTGGCCATGAGACTTTTGAAGGCGCTTGCGCCCCTTTTCCATGGTTTTTCATTCTTCCTTCGGGTCTTTATTTCTCTTTTTTTTCGGCCTCCTCCGACCGTTCAAAACCATAGACTTGGCGCAGAGGTTCCTTCAAACGAAATGAAGGACTCAAAAGTTCCAAAAGAGTAACGAAAAAATTGCGTTTTGCCCGATAAAAGAGAGAAGAAACTGAAAGAAAAAACAGATGAATGCCGATAATGTCAAGATATCCCAAAAGCGCCTAACATCAACATCCCACAATCTCCCTTGCATTTGTTTGGACTTCCTCGCATAAAATGAGATTGCGCGAAGAAACTTTACGATCCCGCCATTGGACTTGCAAATTGGCTTCGTTGTGAATTGTCAAGTCGAATAATAATTAAAGAAGAGAGCGAAGCTTAGAGATTTGACCGGATTTGCCTAGAGATTTGCATAATGGCAAGCTGAAAGTTTCAAAACGGGGTTTTGAAGTTTAGGAAATTAGAGGCTGGAAGAATGTTAATTTCATTGGATATAAAGAAACTAATAAAAGTGCAAAATGGAGTGTAAAAGTAGGCCCGGAAGTCGATTTCAGCGTCCGGATTTGTTACAAACATTGGGAAATTGCCCAATTTTTTGTTGAAATTAAAAATTTTTTTGGTGATTTTGAATAATGTCAACCATAAAGGATATCGATAAAAACGAAGAATAAAGTGTAGAACTACATTTAGGGACCTGATCCAGTGTCAAGAGATGTATTATACCACATTGCATCCGGGAAGTATCAAAAATGTGGCAAAATGCTTCCCTCTCCAAGCAGAAAAAGCTTCTTTTTGAAGGGCTTTTTCCGCTAGAAGAGGGAAGCATTTTGCCACATTTTCGATACTTCCCGGATGCAAAATGGCACGTTCTTTGACACTGGATCAGGTCCGTCACTGTAGAACTAGTGTAAAAAATAGGTTAAAACTTTGGGAAACGTCTAAAAAGTTTTGAAATCTCCAGATTTTCTTGCTGAAACAGCGATCTGCTTTGCAAAATTTGAATTTTCACCTCTCAAGCCCACTAAAAATTGTGTTTTTAGGATTTCCATCGGTCGGAAAGTCGACACTCCTCACGAATTTGGCTGGTGTTTACTCAGAAGTTGCGGCATACGAATTCACGACGCTGACAACGGTCCCTGGAGTCATCAAATACAAAGGAGCGAAGATTCAGCTACTGGATTTGCCCGGTATTATTGAAGGAGCCAAAGACGGAAAGGGTCGTGGTAAACAGGTGATTGCTGGTGAGTTTTGAGGTTTTTTGAGGGCATATTGAAGTAAAGGTGTGTTCTGATGGTATCGATATTGTAGTAGGCATCTGAGAGGCCGGAAAATTGAAATTAAAAGAAGTTTATTTAAATTGAAACTTTGATATTGTAGTTGCCCGAACATGCTCGTTAATATTGATGGTCCTGGACGTGATGAAGCCCTTAGGCCACAAGAAACTGCTCGAATATGAATTGGAAGGTTTTGGCATCCGTTTGAACAAGAAACCTCCAGAGATCACCTTCAGGCGGAAAGAAAAGGGAGGATTGAATTTGACGGCATTGGTGGGTTATGTTTACTTTTTTTTGCATTTTTAGGTACAGTTTTGGACATTGATTTTTTGGACGAAATGTCACTTTTTTCAAGTTGGTTTTTCAAAATGAAATGTTTTGATTTTTCAGGTCCCCCAATCCGAATTGGACCTAGAAACGGTGAAAACAATCCTGGCCGAGTACAAGATCCACAACGCCGATATCACCATAAAATACGACGCCACGGCCGAAGATTTGATCGATGTGATCGAAGGAAATCGCGTCTACATCCCTTGTATCTACGTCCTAAACAAGATTGATCAAATCACAATCGAGGAATTGGACATCATCTACAAAATCCCGCATTGTATGCCGATCTCGGCTCATCATCGATGGAACTTTGATGATTTATTGCAGAAGTGCTGGGATTACTTGAATTTGGTTCGAATGTAAGTTTGCTTTTAGAGAGGCAAAATGGAAATATTGGAAGGAAAAATTTTGAAAAAAAATATATTGTAGTAGGCATTTTTAGACAAAAATTTGTTAAAAAATCAGTTTCAAAAGGGTGGTTCAGCGCATAAAGTGCGACTTTAAGAATTTTAAGTCATTTTTTTCCTCGAAACCACCTAATTATGTGTCAGTCAGTTATTTTTCAAGCATTTATTTCCGTTTCAGCTACACCAAACCGAAAGGCCGAGTTCCGGATTTCGAGGACCCAGTGGTCCTCCAATACGAGAAACGTTCCATTGAAGATTTCTGCACCAAAATCCACAAGAGTTTGGTCAAAGACTTCAAACATGCGCTGGTTTGGGGCCGCTCCGTGAAGCATTGTCCGCAAAGAGTTGGTATTGATCATGTTTTGGAGGACGAAGATATCGTTCAAATCATCAAGAAGTAAGATTTTTGGGGGATTTTGAAGGATTTTTGAGGAGATTCGAAGTGAGCTTTCTGATTTTAGGGTCTAAATTGGTTGTTGCGTTGGCGAAAATCGGCGAGTTGGACATTGTCAACATTTATTATTTGTTAAAATGGGTAAAATTGTTATTAAATAAATGAATTTTGAAGCCGAAAAGGAATAATGGGAGAGTTTTGAGTGCTGTGAAATCAATTTTTGGGGATTTTTAGGAACTTTTGATATTGTTTTATACTAAATTTTTGAAGTTTTGGCATTGTGTTGCAAGGATGAATAGATTTGATTTGGCCTTAGAATTTGATACTATGAATTAGCGTGAGGTTTGGAAAGAAATATAAGCGTCTTTTAATTGCTTTTAGGGGGTTTTATTATATTATCCATGACGATTGGTGGAAATTTTAGAATGTTTTGAAGGTTTTGATTAAGAATTTCACGTAAAAAGAATGTCTAACAAGGGAATGGTTTGAACTGTCCGTGAGCTTTCAATTTGAGACCTCAAAATTCTGAAAGAGCGTACAAAATTTAGTAGGAATCCGCTTTCCATTTTTGCCGAATGGTCTTGGGAGACGAGAAATATCGACAGAAAGATCCGACAAAAAAATCGAGAGAGAGAAAAGACGAACCGAAAGGTCCAGAGAAGCGTCACCAAATGGTGTAGTGGAAAAAGTTCCACGCACAAAACTTTTAGCAGAGGGAGGCCTTGTAGGTTCGAGTCCACCCGGAGCGGATATCGTCGCCTTGGATCTACGTGTCGTTAGTGTATTCGACCGTTATGTAAAGATTCTTTTTTCATTTGTTCAATTGTTTTACAGATTTTTTTCGAAATTTCAAGAAGAGTTGACAACTTGGCTGCATTTTCGATGATGCCAGATATCGACAATTGGTGTTTTCAAGACATTTATACTCGGTTCTGAAAGGTTGTATAGGTCTTGCGGAATTTTTTGAGTTTCCAGAGAAAAATCTTGCTAAATTTTCACGTTTCCTTAAAGCTGCAAGAAAAGTTCAAAAGAAAATTTTTGAGTCCCTGCGTCAGCGTGTGGTCCAACAAGGCATATTTACGAAAAAAAATCGATTTTGAGTTTTTTAGTTTAAAATGACCGTGGACATGTGTTTAACAAACGCCCAAAATATTTTTCCCAAATTCTGCCTTGAAGGTATAAATTTTCATAAATTTGTCATTTTTGGAATTTTGTGTCTGACGGCATCATAGAAAGAGATAATCAGCCAAAATTTTGCGTATGTACCTTTATGGCCATTGCGTATTCAATTTTTTGGAAGTTAACTTTCACAGATTACTGTAACGTAAGCATATTGTAGCCCGGTCGATAAAAAACGACCGCAACTCTTCTCCAAAGGCCATTCGGCCGATAGAAAAAGCATAATTTTGCAACAAGATCTGTAAAAACCCCGAAAAAATGAAAAAAGAATTTTACGTAGTTGTCGAATACACTAACGACACGTAGATCCAAGGCGACGATATCCGCTCCGGGTGGACTCGAACCTACAAGGCCTCCCTCTGCTAAAAGTTTTGTGCGTGGAACTTTTTCCACTACACTATTTGGTGACGCTTCTCTGGACCTTTCGGTTCGTCTTTTCTCTCTCTCGATTTTTTTGTCGGATCTTTCTGTCGATATTTCTCGTCTCCCAAGACCATTCGGCAAAAATGGAAAGCGGATTCCTACTAAATTTTGTACGCTCTTTCAGAATTTGGAGGTCTCATGTTGAAAGCTCACGGACAGTTCAAACCATTCCCTTGTAAGGCCTCATGGAAGGCAGTTTTATTCTTTTTATAATGCCATATGCAAATTTATGAAATTTTTATTATTAAATTTGATTCATGATAGATTAAAAACTCTCAAAAAATGTACAATACTGCCTTTGAAATAACTACGAACATTACAACAATTATATAATAATCAAATTACAACGAATTAAAAGCTGAGGACCGGTGAATTTCTTTGATTTCATATTGAATTCGAACTCGTTTTGACCGAAGAATGAGTTTTTTAGTGTGTGAAAATGAGATCAGTTGGAAAATCGGTGCAACGGAAGCGTTTGTTCCGCATGCGAGGTTCCGAAGAAATGCGACGGCTTCCGCACATCATCATAACAGTACAGCAACTTGACCACGATGCGTTTGAAGGCGCGTCGGAAGTCGCGGTTGAAGATACCGTAGATGATGGGGTTGGCCGTGGAATTGGCGTAGCCGAGCCAGGTTACTACCTGAAATAAAGAGGGTGTTGTGATAGGAAAGGCAACAGTGGTGGTGTTGTGAGTACAAGGTCTGTATAAAGATTTTTTTAATTTTACGAAGGGATGGTCCCAATTTCCTCCGGTTTCAAGGAAAGTGATCATGCTGAACTGATAAAGCAGGTCTATTTTGACTGAATTAGTCATTTTCCAAGTACTTTGTCTGGCCGATATGCCTTATGTAGTAGGTGGAAAATTTCTGATTCCGTCAAAGTCGGCCTGCTTTATCGATTGGGAATGATCACTTTCCCTGACACCCGGAGGGGTTAATACTGTTTGCTTGTCGGCCCAGAATTTCAGAAAAGTTCGGAAAGAAGTTAATTTTTTTTGTCAAGAGTACGGTAAAAGGTCAACGGTATGAACTTGAAATAACAGACTTACCTGGAAAACCTGAGTTGGAAAGAAATTTGGGAAAAGTGAGCGCCATATATTCACTACAAAGAAGGGCAACCAGCAAAGCAAAAAGGTTCCCATAATGATTCCTAGGGTCAATCTGAAAGTATAAGTAATTTATAAAATACGTGGATTTTCTTGCCTTGCTTTCTGATCCGAGACTGACTGAGCTTTGGGATTCGGCCGTTTACAGCCTTCCGGGATGTCTGGGAACTGAAAAATCAAAGAAAATCATAGTCGGATATTCATAGACATACGATGGTTGTCTCCACATTTTGTCCTGGATACTGCTGCCCAGCCGTCATCTGATATTTGGGCTGGACTGCCCTCGGACTGGCGGCGGTTCCATTCGCCGTCCCGGAATTATTATTCGGCGAACTTTCGGCCGAATTGTTGTTGCACCCGACGTCTTGATAGTCCAAGGCCGCATGTGTGGCCTACAAGAAAACGGTGACTACAACGTGGAACACACGGGACATCACGCGGTTTTTCTTGGTTAAAACTCTCTAGCATTTCAAAACTGGCAGATGTTAAACGGCATTTGGCGATAGGGATAGGAAAAGCATTAGGTATTGTTATGCTTCTGGCAGTTGACGAGAAAAACCTGGTACAGTAAAACATCGGGGATTTTTTAACGAAACGGAAGATTTACGACGAGTTAACTTCGACGGGGTGGTCTAAAGGGCAATAAAGGTAATATCTCGGAAAATGGGTACTAATCATGAGATTTATAGGACGTAACCTGTGTTTTGGGACTTAACACTGTGTTTATCAAGCTTACTGGATATCCGTACCAAGTTTTTAACTCTTTTATGCAAAATTAAAAAAGAAATTAGCATTTTTTAGCGCTCTTCACACACTCCACCTTCTACTCTCTTTCTATGGCTCACACTAAGCGTTAAAACAGGCGATAGGTGGCTGTGCAAAAGTCCTTTTGTTAAAATATTAGTTTGTGGTCATTATCAGTGGCAAAACCGAAAAAAAATTGGCCGATAAAACTTGGTTCAGTGTTAGAGGTGCCTTTGGGAAGTTTGGACAGCAAAAATGTAAAGAATGAAGCACAATGAATATGGCTGGATTTTGCACGACAAGGCGAATTGAGAGATAAAACTAGACACCGACACGGCCAAGTGGGACTTACCCTCTCCTGTTGCAGAAAAGAGGAGACCCGCCAAAGTAAGGTATGGCTCCGCCACTGACAACGACAAAAATTATTATCAATATTTTTGGGGTTCGAGCTATTCTTCTAGGCAAAGATTTATAGGGAGAAGGAGCTAAAGGCTTGTGGAATTTGGCTGGGGCCTGGAGAGAGGTACGGGGCTGTAGAATATTTGAAAATTGAGCAGAATGTTAGCTTCTAGGACTTTATACACCCTTTTTTCTATTTCCACCGCCCCGCTTCCCAATCCAGCTGATGCAAAACGTTTGCCGTTATATGGATCTATTCCTAGCAGCTTATAAAATACTAACGAAAGATACTTTGGAAACGGAAAGAGCTTACAACAACTTGGCGTATGTGTTCACTAGCTAACTGCATAATCAATAATGAGGTTGCCTGTTTGAGCTGCGAACGAATGCTGCGCACATGCATTCGGGCATACAAATAGAGCTTCAAGTAGAGCACCACCATGATCGTGGCGGGCAAGAAGAAGCTGAGGATCGATGAGACTATTGCGTAGAGCGGCGATAACCGCAGCTGGCATGTGGGGCTGAAAGTTTAAGGGTTGGTAAAATACGCTACGGAAAAGAGGTGTTCCAAATTTGCGATAGAGTGAAAGCCTTTTCTTTCCTTACAGTCTATGATACCCATCCTTGCCAAACACGGCATGTCTTGGCCGATGCGCATGTTGGTGCTCCGCGCCACTCGCCTCTCCGAAAATGACTTGAGCTGCCCCAATAAGTGACGACAATATCCAGACCACGCCGATGACGGCAATTATCAGTCGTTTACTCGAATATCGAGCGTACTTCATGGGTCGGCTGATATGGCAGTAACGGTCAAAGGCGATGGCGCACAAGTTGAGGATCGACGCTGTGCAAGAGGCAATGTCGAAGCATATCCAGAATTCGCAATAGGCCTCACCGAAGGGCCAGTAGCCGAGGATGTCGTTGGCTGCGGCGAACACCATCACCTGGAAATGTTGTTGTAGGTAGTTGAATGCGAATACGGTTAGAAAAAGCTTGTTTTTTCAAAAATAAAATGAAAAAATTGTTGCAAAAATAAACTTACCAATATCGACACTAACAAATCGCTGACCGCCAATGATACCAAAAACAGATTTTCCGGTTGCCGCCTCAGCTTTCTGTCGAAGAACACGGCCGCACACACCAAAATGTTGCCGCCCAACGCGACCATAATCAAGAATATGAACAGACATAGCAGCAGGATGAGGACGATTATATTCATCGCAGTCAAAACATTCGCTTATAACGGGGTTTTCAGGAGTTTGGCATGGTTTTTAGAGGGGTTCATGAAGTCATCTGGAGAGATCTGAAAGCACTTTCGTGATAAATATAAAATTATAGGATTTTGTTAACAATGGTAAACTGTAAATTACAGTGGACGCGGAAAGTCATCAAGTAAAAAAGGGGATTAGCTATACAACAAATAACGTCTAGGAGCGGGGATTGTATTGTAAATTACAATGAGTCTTCAGCAAAATTAATTTGATTAGAACTGGTAACGAAATACAAAGATCGGTAAAACGAAGTCAGCCTACAACGAGCAATATGAAAGGTCCTAAGACGCAATTTTTTACCAAAATAACACTCCGCATATTGGCTGTTTTCTAAGAGGTTCTTTATGCAAAAATTCCCGGAAATCCAGGAGTACAAAGAAGTGTCAGAAAATGAAGTGTGTTGTGTATCTTCCACATTCCCGAGGTCCTGCAAAATTCCCCTCCAAAAAGACAAACATGGTCAGAATGCAAAATACGGAACCTGGACACCAAACTTGGTGTCCAAAGAACCGGAGCGAAAGCGAGATAAAAGAAGAACGAGTCGATTGTAAATTCAGACTTGGTCTTCTGTGTCCGCGCTTGTACTCAAAAATTTTTATGCAGATTCCATAGACGTCCCTAAAGGAATTAGCGGATCGAAAACATTTGTCACCTTGCACTTGACAAACAATCCAGAAAAGATAGAAGACGCAGCCATGATGTCCTCGCAAGTGCAACCCGATAAATAGAAGCCCTAATGTTTTTGGGGCAAATAGGTGTGTTAAACAGCAAATGACCGCGACTGTATTTCTAGAAGAAGGGCTTCTAATCTGAGGATCTCTGGGGTTGGGGATTGTAGTGGGTGATGAAAAATTCATGGGGAAAAATTTAAAATTATGATGTCAAGGCACGTAGTATTACGCTGTATTATAAATTTTGTAGACGCTTGCAACGCTTCGCTTTTTGAATATCTAAAGCCAATTCATGCAAAAAATTTTCCCCTCTAAATTTTAGGGTTCAAAATCACGTCTGTTTCTGTAAAATTCGCGTCGTGCATTTTTCATAGGATTTCGGAAGACATACTTTTGATTTCCATGTAGTATAATGTTTGTGAAAAATGCAAAAGTTCAAAAAAATGCGAAAGGATGAAGAAAGATTTCTGGACAGCTTCAAATTGTGAAGCCATTCTAAGTTGTAGAAGAAGACCTTTAGTACCTTTCGCCATTGCCCTAGACATAATCTAACAGTCAATGACGCAATCCTAGATCATTTTCTGTTTTTTGGCTTTTATTGCTGGCTAATACATAGCAGATTTTGATGAAACTCGGCACAAATTTAAATAAAATTTTTAAGAAATAAAAAAAATACGCAGGATTCCGAGCTCGCGTTTTGCATGACCTACCGAAATTTTAAGATCGAAAATCTTAAAAATAGGACACTTTTTTGCAAAAGCATTTCCTTGTTAGTCTGGGAAAAACACCGTAAAATCTCATTTATAATATAATCTTTATCTCAAAAATGAAGTATCGAATAACTTTTTTTGCGAAGGGATACAATGAACAGACTGGACTTATATCTAATGCCGGAAATAAATTGCGCCATGGCACGCTAGACAAAAAGCACGAACTTTGAGACGAATCAAAAATAAGGACTAGCATAGTAAGCGTTTGGAATGTTTAGATATCATGGGGGCTGCTTTGAAACTGAAGAGAAATAAATTGGAAAAAATCAAGGCTTCCTAACATCGGAAAGTTCATTTTTTCCAGTGAAGGTTGCTTTTTGACGGTGATCTATATATTTTTTACTGTAAGCCGACAAAACAACCAAAAATAATGAAAGAAGTTTCAAAAATCAGGCTTTCCGCGAAAACAACGCTTCGCCCGTTGTCCGTGTGGACAAAGAGTCCAGCGTGATAGGCTTATGCCTTGCCCAATATGTAGTCTTTCGTAGACGACTTCAAAGAACATTACTTTTGACAGGTTCTTCTAATAGAGATTGAATGGGCCTCAAAATGCGGGACCCGGAATGACCTCTTTAGTTAAATACGTCTAAATTATATATAAAAGTTCATAAGCGGATTCTCACGAGGAGATTAACAGAGAGCTTTGAGGGCTATTGAATATAACTTCTGGTGGTAAACACCGAGTGGGATTTTAACAAAGAGAAGATTTTTCAAGGGAAAAAGAGTTTCAAGTAAAGCCGTAAGATCTTTTAGAACACTGCTAAAAATGGCAGCATGTTTGAAATTTGATGTAAATTTAGACTAATCTTAAAATTTATATGCAAGACTCTTAGCATGAACTTTGCAGAAGTTGCCGGCATTTTTAGGCCGAAAGCACTCCCCGGCATACTATTGCGCATAAAAAATAGGAAAATGAGGTGAACGGCATTTCTGCAAAGCATTTTCGAAGCGAAATTTGTGAGGGTGTGGACAAGGAAGTTTTTCTCTGACCTCGAAAAGGTTCACCTTTTTGGGCAAGCCCAGAACTAAATCCATTTGGTGTCATAATAATTTGCAAAAAACTAAAAATCTGTTTTGTTGGCGGTGAAAATCGTGCACCAGGATATTCAACAACGATTGAAGCTGACAGAACTACCAGTCTGTCGGGAAAATTGTGCTCATTATTTTCCCGACGGACTGATGGTTCTGTCAGCTTCAGTCGTTGAATATTCTGGCTGCACGACTTTCACGGCCAACGAAAGGGATCTTTAGTTTTTTGCAAATGATTATGACATAAAATGGATTTAGCAGATAAAATGGCCTTTGAGCAGACAAAATCAAAAAAAAATTCTCAACGATTTGTTAGGGAGTAATCTCGTTTTACAAGAATTCGAAGGAAAAAAGTAAATCCCGGAAATTACCTCAAAAATAATTATTTACCAAATGTCGCAAGGTATTTGAGAGTCTAGGATATTAGAATAATCTTGTTGTAAAAAGCAAAAAACTTTAAAAAAGTGAAACCAGCAAAAAAGGACTTTTTCTCAGCTCGAGAAAAAGATTCAAGTTAAAAGCGCTGTCGATAAAGTAAATTAGAAAACTCGGCCCGAGGGCTATAAATTAATCCAGAAGCTGCGAACGGAAACATCAATTTTACTCTCACGATCATAATAAAAAGCCCTCAAGGGACGTTGTGGGCCTCAACACGTGGCCTGTTTATTACCTCGGATTTGGAGAGTAACGAAGAAGATAAAAGTTAAATCTGGAATTTTTTTAAAGCCCTCTTTGACGGATTAAAATAGGACAAATTTGTAGTTTGAGCGTCTTCAGACTTTTATGAGGACCCCGAAGGAAAAAGAGCCTTTGAATGAGAAGAGTTTCGGGTCCTGCGTCAAATTTAAATACGTCAATGCGGAAGAGCGAAAAGACGAATTTTACATGGGAAACGTATATTTTGCTCTGTCAGTGTTACTATAAACAAAGCTTTCGGCCAAAACGATGATTTATGTATACCAAATTTGTTACTGAGCAGTTTAGCTATTTTTGGAATGGGAAGGGTCCAAAAATCCCAGTTCCAGAAACCTTTGACCAACGAAAAATGAAGAGCCGGCAAATTTTGATGTCAATTTCTGGACAAAAACAGCTCAAAGGGCGAGACATGTTTGCTGTTTAGTCCTGACATGCCCTTCTCTTGCCTACACAGAGCAATTTGGCCCATTAGCGTGCTTCAAAAGCACTTCATCCTGGATTTGAACCAATAAATTTGTTGCTTAAAATAGAAACTGTTGTAGAATACGACAGCTAAAATGTCTGGGAAGAAGCTTAGATCGCTACATAGTTTGTGCCTTAAAAGGCAGCAATCCAAAATAAGAAACTCGAAGTATCCCTTTCCAGCGAAACCCTTGACAAAAGAGGCCAGGTTTTGAACGCCGTGAGTGACATCACCCTCCAAAAACGGTTATTCTCCCACACCATTCAAAAGAAAGCCCTTAAAAATTTCTACTTACAACAAAAGTGGGCAAACCAACTTAAAATTCATTATAACGAGGATGACGGTCAATGATCAGATAAATGGAAGGGCGTTCTAAAAGAGGAGTCGTTATGGCGCATAAATGGGGTCAGCATAGATAAGAGGGAAAAGTACAGTTAAACGTCTGTACATCAAATCGCAAGGGACCTAGAACTTTAATCTTTTCAAGCGGATTTTTTTGTACGGAGGCTTATTTTGGCTTAAACTTAACAATGTTGAACTCTTGAAACTTCCGTTATATAGAGGCTTCATTGTAGCAGGGCTTGTTACCTAAAGATCCCGCGTTTCACTGTGTATAAGTAGTCACCGTAGCCATTTCAAAAGGTAGGTATCTGCCGAAACGAATGGTTGCACAAAAAACCGATTATTTTTTACAAAAAACGGAAACTCCGTCGATAATCTCGTTCTAAATTACTAGAACGAGTGGTCAAACACCTAGTCTACGACAGACCAATATCCCCCTAATCTACCGTTACAGTTTTGCTAAGCTTGCAAAAACAAGGCCAATGACTTACAGCGGGCGCAGTAAAGCCTGTGATAATGCGTCTATCGCAGTTTGAGGAAATTTCCTTATTAGTCAAAAACTGGTCCCTCTCCAAATCTTTAAGCCTCTTTTTTTCTGAACCCCACTCAAGCTGAGAAGGTACACAACAGCTCAGCTCAATCAGCTGCACTTACTCCTTCCGGGCCAAATCAGCCGTTCTCGCCGCGCCGGGTTCCCAGTAAACTTTTGAACCCCCGTTCTCGGAGCTTCCGTATTCCGCGAAACGGGATTTAAAGGGTTTTCAAACAAGTTTTGCATCTTCTGCCTTCCCCGCTTTAACCCCTTGCAGGTCTCCAGAGAGATCGGCTAACAATAGAAGGCTAAAATTAACAAAACCCCGCAAAATAATCAAGAAAATTGCGCAATTGTGAATTCGTCCAAAAAACACCGCATGGTAAATACCCGA